TTTTTTTTAGTATTACACAGTGACTGTGGTAGTGGCTGGAAGCAGAATTCATGATGTTTTTGATAAAGAAGAATATTAACGTGTATTCCGCTTTTTTAAAAAAAATGGCAGTGGGGGTGGGAAAGGAGGATGCCAAGTACCAGAAACTTTCCCAAGAGTTGAGTAGCAGCGAGTGGAGGAAAGCTTGGAAACGTTCTACATTTCACAGGGCGAGGGCAGGGTACCCCAACAGCGGCCCGTGCAGAACCGCCCGCCTCCCGGGGGGCTCGACCCAAGTCGCGCCCCAATTCCCCCTAGTGGTCCTGTCACTCCCAGCGGTCTCCGCAGCTACAGCCGCCACCTCAGTCGCGAAGCGATAGCCGGACGGGAAGGCCCTCGCCGGCGTCGTGCTGACGTCACGCGCGTGCTGACGTCGCCCGCGGCCGCGGCCTCTGAAGCGGGCTGGGGCTCGGGGGGCGCCGAGTTTGAGTAGTTTGGGGGCCGCTGAGCGCTTGGCGTTGCTCCCGCCGCCCGCTGCGCCCCGCAAGCCGCGCCTCTAGCGGGCTAAGTGAGTCCCGCCCGCTCCCGCGGGGACCCGCACTAGAGGTTGGGCGGCGCTCGGAGAAAGTTGGCGGCTCACAGACTGGCAGGCGGGCGGGCGGGCGGCCGCAGCCATGGAGCCCCGCAGCATGGAGTACTTCAGCGCCCAGGTGCAGCAGAAGGACGTCGGCGGCCGGCTGCAGGTCGGCCAGGAGCTCCTGCTCTACCTCGGCGCCCCCGGCGCCATCCCGGACCTGGAGGAGGACCTGGGCCGCCTGGGCAAGACCGTCGACGCGCTCACCGGCTGGGTGGGTTCGAGCAACTACCGGGTAAGCGACGACGGCGAGGCTGGGCTGGTCACGCCCTCCGTTGCGGCCCTTTAATCCCGGACGGGAGCGCCGTGCCGGGAGAGCTCCCGACCGAACCGCCGCGTAAGAGGGGAAACACACTTTGGGAGGCCCAGGCGGGCGGATCACGAGGTCAGGAGTTCGAGACCGGCCTGACCAGCATAATGAAACCCTGTCTCTACTAAAAATACAAGAATTAGCCGGGCGTGGTGGCGCTCGCCTGTAATCCCAGCTGAGGCAGGAGAATCGCTTGAACTCGGGAGGCGGAGGTTGCAGTGAGCCGAGATCGCGCCAAAAAAAAGAGGGGGAAACACGGGTACCCCGTCCCCACTGGGCAGCCTGCCTCTTCGTACGCGATCCGAGGACTGACTTCTGACCACATTTTTCTACACCTGTGAACAATGACTAATTCCGCGGTTCCGTGATACGTTGCGGAGTTACTTGGCAGTAGGACACAATGTCGATCACTTATTTAAAAAAAAAGAAATCAGTGAAATACTTCAACATTTGTGCTCACCTGTGTAAACACTACCCAGACCAACACATAGTACATTAGGATACGATTTTAGGTTGAAAGGAGATGTCAAGTTAATTCCCTCTTAATGGTTTTTACCTATTTTTAAAATAAATTTTATGTTTGGGATGTTGTTATCTTCGTCTCTAAAGCATCCTTAAGGATTAAACAGGTCCTGATTGTGTTTACTTTTACATCTAATGAAAAGATGCTGACCCCTGACGTTATTTGCTTTTTCTTTATTGAGAGCAGAAAGCAATTGAACTCGCTGTCATTTTGCTTCCCCTCGGGGTTTAGGACTGACTTGAATTTGAAACTGTGTCCTAGTAGATAAGCCAGTGCTGGGAAAAAATAAACAAAAAGATGAGGTACAAAAAGAAATGGGCCTTTCTGAAGAGTCGTTGGTAGGCAGGTTGTAAGGTAGCCACGTTGGGAGCCCAGATAAATATTTTGTCATTAACATTCCCTGTTAGTAGTTACTTTTCTTTCTTGTCTTCTGGTGGCAGTGTTGCTTTAAAATGCTGGCTGCAACTTCCAGTGAATGAAGTGATTCTTCTTAGTAACATATTCTCATAACTCAGTGAATAGGCTGTACTTCGAAACCTTTTATTCAAAAAGAGAAGGGCAAATTCTAGAATTATGATGCAGATTTAATGGTAAAAGCCAGATGAGTTTTGGAAAGGTTAGACTTTTTATAAGGATAATAAAGTTTGAGAACTAACCACATTGATGCTTCATTACATACCATCTCTTGATATATCATTATCATTTGGGAGATTATTTCTTTGGAAGAAACAAGCTAAATTTATTTACTCTGTGAGAAGGGCATATACATATTCACACTCAAAATAGTTGATTATTATTATTTTTTTTTTGAGTTGGAGTTTCACAATTGTTGCCCAGGCTGGAGTACAGTGGTGCACTCTCAGCTCACAGCAGCCTCCCGGGTTCAATCAATTCTCCTGCCTCAGCCTCCTCAGTATTTGGGATTACAGGCATGTGCCACCATGCCTGGCTAATTTTGTGTTTTTAGTAGAGACAGGGTTTCTCCATGTTGGTCAGGCCAGTCTTGAACTCCTGACCTTAGGTGATCCTCCCGCCGCCTCAGCCTCCCAAAGTGCTGGAATTACAGGCATGAGCCACTGCCCCTGGCCATAGATAGTTGATTTTATGCTGCAGCATAGACTATTGTAGAAAGACAGCGCTTTGATAATGTTTGCACCTCTTCCCAAGTGAAGATTGATGTGCCATCTTCTACACAAGCTGTTGTAAATTGGCTTTGGGCCATTTCACTCCTCAGATGTATCGTCAGTGATCACGCTGATATTCTGTGATACCACAGTGTGCTAATTTTTTGTTATACCTCTAAGCCCTACTTCCACTTGGTGCTGTGTTTTTAACTCTTCGTTAAGAGTTAGAATCCATCGGAGGTCTCATCCAGCTTCTCATCTGTTTTTACTACACCTTTTCTTTGTGCTCCTCACTAGGTAATGTAGCCCAAGACAGTTTTCAGCAATCGGAAGAGAACTGCCGCAGCCTCCCGCCACCTTATCTATACACTGCCTTGTAGCTGTGACTATATAATCTACCTTCTTCCTTATTATAATAGATGAATTGCCTGTTTTCCTCATTTATGCCATTCCCTCCACAAAAGTATTAGATTCCATGCCTTCTTGCTTACTCAAGGACATTGATCCATTCAGTTCTGTGCTGTCTTTCCTAAATTACTAGTTCTCCCCTTTCTGTTGAATTCTATAGTATAAAAACTTTTCTGACATTTTTAGGGAGAGGGCATTCTAATTAATCTGTTGCTTTATGTTTTATAAACTAAGTTACCCAACTGGGTAATCTTTTTTTTTTTTTTGGAGATACAATAAAACATATTTAACTCTATTTTAAAAAGTGTGTCATAGAAATTTTTGAGCATACAAATAGAATCGTACTTCAGTTTCATTTTATACTGAACAAAATGCAATTTTTCTTTGGATTTGGTAGTACTTCAGAATCTTAATGTCTCAGTCACAGTCATTGTATTAGTAAATTTGAATGCCTCCTGTATGCTATGTATTCAAGATGCTAAGGATCCATCCAGCTTTGAACAAGACAAGCCTCATTCATTTAGCTTCATTAGCATATTTATTGATGACCTATTATTATCAGGAACTCACTCTTCTAGGCATTGCAGATACAATGTGAAAAAAAGACAAATCTTTGCCTTTGTGGACTTAGATTCTAGGAATAAGCAGGCAAGATAAATAAAACGTATAGTGTGTTACATGGTGATAAGTGGTTTGGAGAAAAAGAGCAGTGAAAGGAATAGTGAATACTAGGCAAGATGCAGATGTTGGAATTTTAAATAGTTGGTCATCAAAGACCTAATTGAGGGGGTGATTTAACAGAAGATGGGAAAGTGAGATCCCTGCAATTGTGTTAGAAAGAGGTAGACAGGTATAGAAATTAGATCATTTTAGGTAGCATGTGCTTGTAAATTAACATGGTATGAAATGATTTTGCGACTGTATTTTGGGTGGTCAGGAAAGGTGACGTGAGTGCAGACACTGAAGAAACATGAGTGACGAGTGAAGAATGATTGAAGCAGAGGAAACAGCAAATTCAGAGACCCTAGTTTTTTTGAGGAACATAAAAAGCCATCCTGGCTAGAGTTTAAACAAGTGAGGTGTTGAGAAAGATGAAGTTGAAGAGGCAGGTATAAAGTCATAGTATTTTATTCTAAATATGGTGGAGGGAACTGGGCATGGTGGCTTGTGCCTATAGTCCCAGCTACTTGGGAGGCTGAGACAGAAGATCACCTGAAGCCAAGAATTTGAGACTTGCTTGGGCAACATAGCAAGTTCCTGTCTTAAAAAAAAAAAATACAGTGGAAAGTTGTATGTGTGTAGAGGGTGTCTACTCTGTGGGGAGTTGACTATAAAGGAACAACAGAAGCAGCAGAGAGAGAGAATGGTGGCTAGGCCTGATTTGATAGCGATGGCAATGTTGAGAAGTGGAAAATTTGGGCTATGATTTGGTGGCAGATCCAGTAAGAGCTCCCGTTGGACTGGGTTTGAGGGTTGAAAGAGAGGAATTATGGATAATTGCCTTGTTTGAGCAGTAGGTTTGATTGTGCTATTTATTGAAATAGGAAAGACTGAGAGAAGAACAAATGGGGTGAAGGATATAAAAAGTTTAGTTTTTACTGAGTTAGGTGTGAGAAGGTGTTTAACATACAAATGGAGACGATAGACAGTTGGGGTCCTGAGTCCAATGGAGAAGTCATAATTGAAGATGAAAAATATGGAAATAGGCCAGTGCAGTGGCTCACGCCTGTAATCCCAGCACTTTGGAAGGCCGAGGCGGGTGGATCACGAGGTCAGGAGTTCAAGACTAGCCTGGCCAACATAGTGAACCCCCATCTCTACTAAAAATATAAAAATTAGTTGAGCATGGTGGTGGGTGCCTATAATCCCAGCTACTCGGGAGTCTGAGGCAGGAGAATCGCTTGAACCTGGGAGACGGAAGTTGCAGTGAGCCAAGATTGTGCCATTGCACTCCAACCTGGGTGACAAAAGCAAGACTCCGTCTCAAAAAAAAAGAAGAAAATAGGCATATATATAATATATGTAGTCTGACAATTGATATTGACTAAGAATGGTCCTGCAATTTCAGGAGTCCTCAAATTTTAAAATGGTATTATGACAAAATTTCCCACATAAATACAATTAAGTATGATAACCACCATTTACCTAGTCCTTAGTGAGTTCCAGACACTCTCAAATGCTTTATTTTTTATTTATTTATTTTTTTGAGACGGAGTTTCACTCATGTTACCCAGGCTAGAGTGCAATGGCGCGATCTCGGCTCACCGCAACCTCCGCCTCCTGGGTTCAGGCAATTCTCCTGCCTCAGCCTCCTGAGTAGCTGGGATTACAGGCACGCACCACCATGCCCAGCTAATTTTTTGTATTTTTAGTAGAGATGGGGTTTCACCATGTTGACCAGGATGGTCTCGATCTCTTGACCTCGTGATCCACCCGCCTCGGCCTCCCAAAGTGCTGGGATTACAGGCTTGAGCCACCGCGCCCGGCCTCAAATGCTTTATTTGCATTGTCTCATTTAGCCTTTAAGATGCCTTAGGAAATCAGTGTACTATTATTTTCCTTTTTTTGTAGAAAAGGAGGCATAGGTATCTTACTTTAGGCCATAGACCTGGTAAATTAGTGGAAGAGTTGCTTGAGCCTGGGGAGATTGGAATATCCATACTCCTTTTCTCTACTTTTATAAACCTCTTCAATATCCTATTGTCAGTTCTACTTTGTATATTATGAGGATTAGTAACATTTACATTTCATCTGCAACCACAGGGTAAGTTGAAGCTAAAAAACTGAGGAAACACAGCCTGAGCAAGATAGTGAAACTTCACCTCTACAAAAAAAGTTAGTCCAGGATATTGAGATGGCAGTGAGCCGTG